AAACCGCTTAGAGAGGCCTGAAAGGCCTATGAAGCGGTATATAAGTCTACTGCTATTGCTATTGCTATCCTCTTTCTCTCCAGATCCCCCTCCAATCCGGCGGCTGCCAACGGGGGTGCCCCGTGCCAAGGAGATGCCCAGGAGGTGCGTGAGTGTCTCACAATCTGTACCACAGGTAAGAGTAACGGTAACATCCGTTTTCACTTTCTGCATAGCGGATCCCATTTATTTATTTATTTATTTATTTATTTATTTATTTATTCATTCATTTATTTTGTACGGCATAGCAGAATATAGCATTTCTGCATTAAAAATTCACAAAAAGATTCACCTAAGTTGTCTCAATTTTTCCAAAAGCAACTGGACTTTCTTGGTATTTTTCCTTGAAGGGGTTTCACTTCCCATCTGAGAAGCTTCTTCAGTTCTGACGGAACGATTGAACTGTTACTCAGAACGGAGGAAGCTTCTCTGGATGAGAGGCAAAACTTTTTCAAGGGGGGAAAGAAAAAACCAAGAAAGTTGTGTTGCCTTTTGGAAAAAAGCATCTTTGGGTCAACCCTGATCTGGGTGATTAAGAATAGAATATTAAGAATATTAGTGTATAAAATGTGTATCAAAATATAAAACCCAGAATAGGGAATGATTTTTAAAACTCGCATGACCAATGATAAATAATAAAATTATGAATGAATTAAATTATACCTGAGCAGTTATGGAGTGACTAAACCTTTAGCCGGATATCTAGATAGTTTAGCCATTGGGCAGCGCTGCCTTCGAGATGATGTTGTTCTTGCAGAAATCCAGGGAAAGTTCCAACGTGTTCCTTCACAACATGATGTAACATTTGTGGGACATTCCCACAATCACCGCTATCAAAACCATTTGATTTTTCCAATATTATCATCTGCCATTGTTGGTTTGAATCTAACTGAGCACTGTCCAGACTCCACTGCACCAGTTTAATATCCACCTATCGACACTGAATAACAGAGTTGCAACAGACCTTGGAGATTTTCAACCCGTGACGTATGCCTGTACGTCCCTGTCACTCACATAGAACCGTCCCGGCTCTCCCGCACCGGTCCTCCAAGTCAGAAAGATTGGGGAACACTGCTCTATATCAGGGGTCCCCAACCGGTGGGCTGCATCCCACTACTGGGCTGTGGCCTATTCGAGCTGTGTGAGGGGCTGGCTGGTGTGTGTGAATGCCCCACTTGTGTGAGCATCACAGAATCCTGCAGCCCCACTCACACAAGCTTCATGGGGAGTTTGGAACCTGACTCATGCGAGTGTCGCGGAGGCAAATGAGCATCACACACTCAGCCCCACTCACTTGAGCAACGGGTGCTTGTATGCACGCATGCTAGTGCCAACATCTCCCACAAGACCACCCCCCCTTTTTCCCCTCCCCACCTTTGGACCGCCATCACAGAAAGCTTGGGATACTCTTCTCTATACCGTTTCAGACACACGGTTATCCAATCTCTTTTTTGTGCGCGTGATCCTGAGAGTCCAGGATATCCTGTCCCAGCACCCACCCACCCATTTCTCTCCTGTCCCCTGGCAGAAATTCCCTTGCTCTGGAGCGACTGGACCCCCTGGTCCCCCTGTTCCAAGACCTGCTTTTATGCCCCGGATCTGGTTGGCACGCGAAAACGATTCCGGCATTGCAATGGTACCGCACAGGTTGTGGGGTGCGACGGAGAGACAGTGCAGGAAGAGGAGTGTGACACACCTCTCTGCCCAGGTGAGTAGCCGAAGAGACACCAGAATGGTGCGACCAAAATCTGTGTTCGCTATGCCCAGATTCACCCATTTGAACGCCCAAGGTTCAGCTCAGATTTCATTGGTCAAGCCCCTTTCGGGGTACGGGGTTCTGAACGGGACGCCCTCGACTTACGAGCTCCAAATTTCCCTTGCCAAGCCAGACGGTTGTTAAGTGTGCTTTCTGGACACCACTGATAAGTGAATCGCTGCAGCCATTACTTCGGTTGAGGCTTAATTGAAGTTTAGCTTTGATTTTCATTCTGTAAATTAGGTTCAGTTTTAATTGAAGCTTAATTTGCGTAAACTAAGCTCAGCTTTGATCAAAACTTAATTTAGGCTTAAAGTTTAATTGAAGCTTACCATATTTTTCCAAGAATAAGATGCACTCCCCCACCTTAACAGAGGGTGAACATTTCTTTTTTTGCCTCCGCATGCCCCATTTTGGGCCTCTGCGCATTGTGTGAAAACGCGAGGCACAAGAGACCCAAACAAGAGGCACAAGAGGCCAAAAACATGAGGCACAAGAGGCCAAAACCACGTGGCACAAGAGGCCAAAACCACGAGGCACAAGAGGCCAAAACCACGAGGCACAAGAGACCCAAACAAGAGGCACAAGAGGCCAAAAATATGAGGCACAGAGGCAAAAAAACGGAAGGCACAAGAGGCCAAAACGGAAGGCACAAGAGGCCAAAAATACGAGGCACAAGAGGTCGAAAACACGAAGCACAGAGGCCAAAAACCCAAGTCACAGAGGCCAAAAATGGAAGGCACAAGAGGCCAAAAATGGAAGGCACAAGAAGCCAAAAACACGAGGCATGAGAGGTCAAAAACGCGAAGCACAGAGGCCAAAAACAGAAGGCACAAGAGGCCAAAAACGTGAGGCACCGAGGCCAAAAAAGGAAGGCACAAGAGGCCAAAAACACGAGGTACAAGAGACCCAAACAAGAGGCACAAGAGGCCAAAAATATGAGGCACAGAGGCAAAAAAACAGAAGGCACAAGAGGCCAAAAACGGAAGACACAAGAGGCAAAAAATGGAAGGCACAAGAGGCCAAAAATACGAGGCACAAGAGGTCGAAAACACGAAGCACAGAGGCCAAAAACCCAAGTCACAGAGGACAAAAACGGAAGGCACAAGAGGCCAAAAATGGAAGGCACAAGAGGCCAAAAACGGAAGACACAAGAAGCCAAGAACACGAGGCACGAGAGGTCAAAAACGCGAAGCACAGAGGCCAAAAATGGAAGGCACAAGAGGCCAAAAACGGAAGACACAAGAAGCCAAGAACACGAGGCACGAGAGGTCAAAAACGCGAAGCACAGAGGCCAAAAATGGAAGGCACAAGAGGCCAAAAACGGAAGACACAAGAAGCCAAGAACACGAGGCACGAGAGGTCAAAAACGCGAAGCACAGAGGCCAAAAATGGAAGGCACAAGAGGCCAAAAACGTGAGGCATGGAGGCGGCGATGGTCTGTGGCAATCCCTGCAGCCTGGAACAGCTCTTTGGGGGTATTCCAGGAGACCAATCAAACCGCCAATCAGCTGCTCGTTCTGAATCAGGCTCCGATAA